GAACTTTTACAGCCATCAAGTGATATAAATGAAAGATGATTGTGAAGATTTAAATACAGGTGGTTTGATTGAAAGATACACAAAACACCCTGCTAGTCTTGAGCACCTCACACCAGCAGATTGGGCAACATGGTACAATAGCCTATTTTACAGTTGTGAACTTAGTTGCCAAGCCTTTAATTTGGAGTGAGGTTGAAGGTGACCTTGTTGTGATAGAGACCAGGTAGTTAGCATGATAACAAAGTAATTTGCATTTGAAAAGCAGCAAGGTTTGTATCATAACAAGGTCAACCTTAGCCTCACTCCTGTTAAAAGGTTTGGCAACCAAGCACATAACTGTAAAATGGACTGTTGTGAAACAAAATCATATGTTAAGCCATCAACTGAACTTGATAGTGAAAATCTTCTGTTGGAAAATACTATTGATGATTTTAATGATGATAATCAACCCAGTGAAAATAAAACTCCAAACAAGAACAGGAAAAGAACTAAGGCCAGAGTTATTGGAAGTGTGTGGTTAATCAACAGTGATCCTAGGAAAAATATTATTGTGAATTTATTATTCTCTTTACTGCTTGGCAAAATGAAGAAAAAGACTTATTAGGTGATTACTCTTCCCATCAAGAGTATTACTTCCTATTAGCTCCCAAGATTCAAGAACAAATGAAACAATGTGTCATGTGTCAATATATCATAAAGATTTTAATGAATTACAGGAACAGGTTAATAACATGTGGAAGACACAGATAAAGAATATGACTTGATAGCACCATATACTTAAAATGTTGAACACAGTGATAAGGCACTGGGAAATGAAGATCTACAACCTGATTTTAATGAGAATTATTACTTATCAGATGACAAAGGGATACCAACAGTTGATGCAAACTATGAGCAATTAATGCAAAATGAATTGAAAGATGAAGAGTATAGGCAGATTGTTCAAATATTAGACAACAAGCAAAAGGAATTATTTTATCATGTACTGCACTTACGATAAACCTCAGATGGGCCTTTCTACTGTTTTCTCAGTAGAGGATCAGGATTTAAATATTATAATACTAGAGCTGATTTTGACTTTCATGAAGTAATGGTATTGATGCTAGCACCTACTGGCAAAGCAGTTATAATATTAAGTGTAATACTATACATACAGATCTATGAACAGCTGCTTTCCATTTATTGAAGACTTATAAAAGTTTTGATTCTAGTACTTAGACTCAATACTTTACGAAGCCAGCTCAGTGCAATCAAACTTATATTTATAGATGAGATCTCTATTGTTGGCAATGGTATGTTTAATGTACAAATAAACTGTAGACTTAAAGACAATAAAGGAAGCTCATTACCCTTTGGTGGTGTCAGTATTGTTGCTGTAGGTGATTTATTTCAGCTGAAACCAGTCATGGATGGTTATATATTTAAAGAGATGAATGATTCTTAATATAGTATTCTTACCCCAAACCTTTGGCAAGAACATTTTAAGATGTTTAAACTGCATCAAGTATTAAGACAGAGGGAAAGTAGGCTGTATGCTGAAATTTTAAGTATACTAAGGGAGGGTAAACATACTAAAGAGGGTACAACAAAATTTAATGAGAGATTGATACGAACTGGCAACAACAATTATCCACTGGATGCTCCTCATTTCTTCATTCAAAATGCCAAAGTAAATGAATTCTATGACAAAGTTCGTGTCTTATCTAGACCATAGTATTCCATCAAAGCATATTACAATGTTTTTGGAGCTGGGTTTCAGAGTCTAAGAGACAAAATAATGAAACAAATTCTAGTTGATAAGCCAAATAAAACTAGTCAACTGCACACAGTTTTACATATTGCAGTAGGTGAAAGGACAGATATTTCTCTCAACTTAAGAACAGATGATGGCTTGACAAATGTTGTTAGTAATACTTACAGCGAGCTGGTAAACCATCAGGCATCATATGGGCGCAGTTTGACCATGCTGATATTGGTGAGAAAACAAGACAAGAAAATATACATCTCCATGTATAAGATATTGATCATGTAGGTGGACACCTATATCAAAACAGTGACCTCATAGTTTGCTTTTGGTACAAATAGAACAGTACAGGTTGTAATAAAACAGTTTCTATTAAGACTTGCCACTGCTTAAACCATTCACAGATTGCAGGGTTCTAGTGAAACTAAAATACCATAGTTGTAAATTTTAGATACTAAAATGGCAATAGCACATATTCACTATGTAGGATTGAGTAGAGTAACAAATATAGAAGGTTTATATATATTATTGACCTTTATGAGGACAAAATAGCTGTCAGCTGGCCATGATGTTAAAAAAATATAATGTTTTAGAAACAAAACTAAGTTAAATTTGTCTATAACTCTTATTCACAATACTCATCAAATATTATTAAATTTAATATTATTTAAATTTAATATTACTTAAATAAAAGGTCACTGTACAGATATATTGATGATGTCTGCAATGATTTGAATTATTCAAGTACAGATGTTAGTATTTTTTCTGAGACAAGACCCTTGCAAAATGGATTTTGGAATTCCTAAGATTATCCTAGGAATAAGAGGTGTGAATTTTCACAGGAATTCCTAGGAATTCCCAACTATAACAACTCTGGTTCTAAAAACCTAGAAAATCCCAGAAATTCTCAGAAATTCCAAGTTTATAGCCGACAGGACTTGGAATTCCTAGGAATTCCAACTCAGAGCACCAATGACTTTTGCTGAAAAGCTGTAAATCTAAAAAATTCCTAGAAATTTCTAGGAATTTTCAGGAGTTTCTGGGAATTTTCAGGAAATTCTAGAAATGTTTAGGAATTGCTGGGAATTTTAAGTAAAAATTTGAGGCTACCAATATGAAATAAATATTAAAATTTTAAAAAAATTCCAGCTAAAAATTCAAGTATTCAATGAAATTTATCTACAAACTTAACTAAGGTTTACGTGTAGAATATATTTGATTGCATATTAACATCAACATGGAGTAATATTAGGATGGAATTTGATTCATTTTTCTTTTCTTGAAAACTTCATACGAATAATTCGTATTATATTCGTATTAATCCTCAGTTACAGCTATTCATATAAAATAGTCCTAATAAATCATTAAGTTTGGTTTGACACAAATTGTGAATAAAATCTGTTGATTCTTTTCCATAAAATACAATATCTTAAATTATAGTTATTGCATTAAATACTATCTGTCCAAAAATAGTCTTAAAATAAATCATTTAATTTTGGATGATGATACAAATGGTGTTTAACCCTTTTGCTCCCAGAGTCAAGCATTGACTTGATTTTATGTGGTTGTAACTTCTTTGGATAAAACTCTTGTGTGTGAACATTGAAATGTAAGCTGTCAAGCAGCACTTTCATGTTATCCTCATTGTTTTTGTTGATTCTGCACATTGAAATTCAAAGATTTCTTCTCAAATTTTGACCTTGCACTCTTGAGAATGAAAGGGTTAATTACAGCTAAATAGAATTGATTTGTTAATTAAAATCTTGTTGTAACTGTAACAATAAATTAGAATTAGTTTTCCTAAACTGCAGACTTAGCTACTGTTTACCTTTTTTTCTTGAGCTCACAGCTTTCCCTGTTGGCGGTGAAGATTGTCTACAAGAAGCTTGACCATTTTGTATCTGGATTCAATGACATCTGAATTTGAAAAAAAAAAACATATATATAAATAGATATTAAAAGCTCAGACAAGGCCTTAGATAGCTATAAGGAAAAGGGCATTCATTGGAATCTCAATTTAACAAAGTGCACTGGGATTGGGAAATCTCTGTTATATTGTAGTTAGTACATCTCTCCCATAGGTTTTACTAAAAAAGGGTTCAATACATTATTTTGTTTTTACCAAGGAGGGCTCCTTTATGTAATAAGGTTTGTTTAATCACAGTTTGTATTATGAATCTTGAATGTTCCCAAACGTGACTAAAGTAATCTTGAAACCTTACTGATAGATTTATTTCACTGTAAGCATAAGCTTAAGAAACTGCGGCATGTAAATGACAGATTCCATTCTCACGATTATTCTAGTTTCAGTTACGCCGAGCGTTATGTAAG